AATTGTTCAATAATTTAATTGACGTATTTTTCTAATATCAATTTGTAGAAAAAATAAATTTAAGTAATAATTAATATATTCTTCTTTTATAATTTTTTAAAAGTATATTATAGGTATAATTAATTTTATGCATTTTATCCATTTTTATATAAGAAACTTTCCGTATAATTAGATTGTAGTTAATGTTATAAATTATTAATTTCCAGCTGAAATATAAAGTTTATAATTTTCAATTTAATATTGCGATATAACAAAGTATATTTTGGAACATTTCTTTTAAAAGACCTTTTTTTGTGTTTACGTACGTGTTTACATATTATATAAATTATATTTTTTTAATATCAAATAATACAAATAGCCCAAATAGCAAGAATATTGATAAAAATAAAGAATAAATAACGCAAATAAATTGTAAATAACAAATTGGATTTTACTCATTAGGTGTTAACAAATTCAATAAAGATTATAATGACCATCTCTACTCTAATAGATAATTCAATTATCAGTTATCCATACCTAATAATCTCGAAGATACGATTATAGTCGAGATTTATAAAAGTGAGATTTTGCATAGTTTCAAAGGTATAATTGCTCAATTCGACAATCATGTTGCCACTGAGATTGATCTCGACAATGCTGTTGAGATTGCTAAAAGTGTAACTGGCAAGCTTATGAAACTTTCCATGCTGGAATACGATTATGCGCAAATTCTTCAAATTTTGCAACAAATGATCAGGTACGTAGTCGAGGCTGTCGAGCTGACGCACCGTAAACGTCAATTTTTCGAGCTGGGTTTGCGATTTAAAATAATTCCACATGGGATCGCTCCGTTCGAACTTGCTCAATACCAAGCAACTGACGACACTGGAATTATGCAGGCCGTCGTTGCAGTAGCAATAGATCGGTGCCTGCTGGCCCAGAATGTCACAGATGTTCACCTCCTTCGTCTCCTTAATATTTTTCTTTTTGTCGCGCGTCTTTGACATCGCCAGACCTGATGACGCGAACAAGCTTGTCAGCAGTAATAGTTCAAGGATAAAGGAATTATACAGAAACTGGCGCATTATGATCCTGAAACAGAGAATTGAAAGTTTCGTTTGAATATTGCGATACAATTATTATAATTTATTAATTAATAAAATTACCTCATAATAAAATTATTTCGGAAGATTTTAATAGTATATATTATTTTTTTACTGATATGTAGCAATCTTAGATATTTAATTTTTTATTATATATTTTTCTTGCATAAAAGGCTTTTTTTAAAACAATAACATAGACTTTCTTTCTTTTTTCCGATTTTCTTCCTTTCTTAGATGAATTTAATGCGAATAATGAGCAACTGATCTCTCGAAGCATCGAGGCGACATCGCGAGGCGATAAGGGTCGATTTTCATTGTATTTAAAGTCGACACGATACGACGCGCGCCTCCGGCTCTATATCACAGAAAATTTGCTCGACAGCTCCATTACAAGCACATCGATACATAACGGCATATCGTTTCTCCATCACCAGGCTGCTCTTTAGAGAAAAATATTCCCCTCTTCCACCCATAAAGAGAACGTGGACACATTGTCACATCGATTGACGACATAAATAAAAATTTTTTTAGTCGAATATGTTTTATTCTTTTAAAGATATACATAATAAAAGTTTCAAAAATTGTCAATACTCGAATAAAAATACTTCAAATTGATGTATATTATGAATTAAAATTTTGTATTTTAAATACTGAGATTTTATATTGTACTATTTTTAAATCTTCGTATTTTGTTTCTATCGTGCTGTAATATTTTAAATTCATTTCCATTACATTCAATTGATATGGGGTAATTGATTCGAAATAAAAAAATCTTATCTCTAGAACTTTTATATTATACGTAAGCAGACATTTTGGAATTATTTTTGAGACATTATTGCATAAATACGTTATGTAATTGCACCTTACAAAGCTCTTCTATGTTCTTCCTGCTGTGCTTGAATCGTTAAATTTATTAACTTGTGTTCTTTTATCAAATAAATATTGTGAGTGATATATGAATCCCGCTGTTGTGTCTTTTTATATTTTTTATATTTTTTTATTGTATTATATTTATATTATTATCTGTATGTCATATTGTTATATAATTACTATATTTTTTATTTCAAATTCTTCAGTTGAATTGTTATTATAATTTTATTACAAAAATATTATTACAAATGAAATATCTGAAATTTTTTTATTTGAATTTATTTATTATTATATTAGCTTAATA